TTTCAAAATTATTTCAAATTTCACTCGGTATTTAACGGCAAATAACCAGTTCAGATTCTGAACTAATTTCTGCGGATGGAATAAAATGACCCAGTTCAGATTCTTGCATGGAAATGAGGTTGCTTGCTTGTGTGACCGGAGGTCCGTCTCGAGAACCTTATCAAACCGTAAGCGCGGTTTATTTCATATTAGGTATTTTGACAATGGACCTCTGGAGCCAGGGTAGTAATTTGAAGTCACTTTACCGCAAAATGATAGCCCAGTCACACAAAGGGACTTAGGGGTTTTAGTGAGATTCCGTTGTTTTTGCTCATGATACTGACGGTTGATCAACATTTCCCGTGCAGCTGGAATAAAACACTTAGAATTACGGGCACGCGGGGCGAAAACAAGCGCTCAGTGTTTTATTGCAGTTTTTCTGATCTGTTGATGATTGTGCCAAGCTGAAAAACTTTGGATACTGGATTATTCGCAAAAAGATGATCACGGCTATGTTCGACATCATCATTTGAAAGATATAAGTGGATTAAATTTGCTTTTAATTAAGTTTGTTGTTATTACTTACTGGAGTGAAATGCACAAAAGACTACCGAAATCACTAGCCTGCGTGGCAGGCGCAAAAAGGGGAGGGGGAGGGGGAGGGAGAAAAGGGAATCCCCCTCCCCTTTTTCCCTTCCTCCCTACCCCCTACCCCCTCTCCCCCACCCCTTTCAACGCCTGCTATGCAGGCTACGAAATCACAAAGAAACTGTCGGCAACATGTCGGCACGCCAAAAAAGGATCGTTTGCATTTGAAATTTACAGTCGTCTCCCGATAACTCGAACCTTCAAGGAAATCGAAAAAATTGCAAGTTATCGGGAGTTCGAGTTATCAGGAGCTCGAATAAAATAGCCGGGATTAAGGAAAAAGCAGTTTTTACTGCACAGTGAACACTTTAATCACATTTGTAGAAATGTTAAGTGAAAATTGAAAGATCTTCTAGACTATAAATCAGGATGCAACGTAACAAAGCATAGCGTAAATAGAGCATGCGTTTTACTGTTCAGCCTCCACTAGTAAACTATACTCCTACAACACGTCAATGGGAAATTCAAAATTCATTGTTTTGGACGCCAGCAGACTGATTTTTTCCCGACTTTTTAAGAGCTCTACTGAAACATGGTTCGAGTTATCGAGGGTCAAATTTTATAGAAATGATCTGAGGGGAAACAAAACTACTTCGAGTTAGCGGGAGGTTCGAGTTATCAAGGGTTCGAGTTACTGAGGGTAAAATTACAGTAAATGTATGACGGAAATCGAGGGGAAATCGATTTTGGTTCGAGTTAGCGAGGGTTCGAGTTATCGAGAGTCAGCTGTATATCGCTCACGAAACCATTACGAGTTCTCGTTACGTCATGTGACTTCCCTCGTTAGATAGCGCTATCCACCGGATAAATCCGATATCCGGCTGTGGATAAGTTTTAGGGAAAAATTTAAACTAATTACTTGATCCCCTAAATAGAGGCTTATCCACTAGGTAGCATCCTCCTTCTGAACAACCAGGCCCTCTTTATCAAAACCTTGCCAGTTTGGTTCGCAGGGCTGGCTCTTCCAACGTCAGGTGGTAACCACCCTGGA